GGGGCCCGTGGGGTGTGGGTGCTGGCGCAGGGTGTGGTGCTGGTTGGGGACCTGCCCAGGACCAGGTGGCAGACGGGTGCCACGGCACGGGGGTGGAGGAGGCTGTGTCTGTCCCCTCGCCCTCCCCAGCTGGCGCTGCCCGGTGCTGCCGTGTTTTCCCTGGCTGTGGCTGCTGACTCTTCCCCCAGATGTGTCCTGCAGGGGATGAGAACACCGTAGCCTTTCCCCTGCTCCCCGGGTCCCCTCCACCCACCTGGCTGGTGACGGAGCAGGACGCGGGCAGGAGTGTGGTGAGGAGGTGCTGGGCAGGGGACATGGTTTTGGGTGCCCGCGCAGCACTGTGTTTGTGGAGCTGGTGGGTAAAGGAAGGGACGTGTGTGCTGGGAGAGGGGAAAGGGCAGATGGGCAGGGCTGGAGTGGAGGCTGGTGGTTTGAGGGGACCTGGTGAGGCGCATGTGGGTTTGCTCAGTGCCTGTTTGCCTGCCCTGCAGGGTTTGAGCCAACTGCCTGGCCAGGATGAGCTGGAGTTTTCTGACGCGGCTCCTGGAGGAGATCAACAACCATTCGACCTTCGTGGGCAAGATCTGGCTGACCGTCCTCATTGTCTTCCGCATCGTGCTGACGGCTGTCGGGGGCGAGTCCATCTACTACGACGAGCAGAGCAAGTTCGTCTGCAACACGCAGCAGCCCGGCTGTGAGAACGTCTGCTATGACGCCTTCGCCCTGCTCTCCCACGTCCGCTTCTGGATCTTCCAGATCATCATGGTGGCCACACCATCGGTCCTCTACTTGGGCTTCGCCATGCACCGCATCGCCCGCATGCCCGAGTCCTCGCGGCGCCAGGCACCGGCAGCCCGGCGGGCACGCATGCCGGTGGTGCGCCGGGGAGCCGGGCGGGACTACGAGGAGGCGGAGGACGATAATGAAGAAGACCCCGTGATCTTTGAGGAGATCGAGGTGGAGAAGGAGAAGAGCCCAGAGGGTGGAGAGAAGCACGATGGCCGGCGCCGCATCAAGCAGGATGGGCTGATGCGCGCCTATGTCCTGCACTTGCTGTGCCGCTCGCTGCTGGAGATGGCTTTCCTCTTCGGGCAGTACCTGCTGTACCGCTTCGAGGTGAGCCCCTCCTACGTCTGCAGCCGCAGCCCCTGCCCGCACACCGTCGACTGCTTTGTCTCCCGCCCCACCGAGAAGACCATCTTCCTCCTCATCATGTACGCCGTCAGTGGGCTCTGCCTCTTCCTCAACCTCTGTGAGCTCGTGCACCTCGGCGTGGGGCGCATCCGGGACGCCCTGGGCCAGCCTGACAGCCCCCGGCTCCC